ACCAGTCCAGAATGAAAATGTGGAAGTCAGGATGATTGTCCGGGCTGTCCAGGGGATATGTTTGTGTTGTATATTAATGAATGTGAGTGAATAAACAGTCCAGAATGAAAAAGTGGAAGTCAGGCTGATTGTCAGGGCTGTCCAGGAGATATGTTTGTGTTGTATATTAATGAATGTGAGTGAAAAAACAGTCCAGAATGAAAAAGTGGAAGTCAGGCTGATTGTCAGGGCTGTCCAGGGGAAATGTTTGTGTTGTGTTTTGATGAATTTGAGTGGAAAAAAACCAGTCCAGAATGAAAATGTGGAAGTCAGGATGATTGTCCGGGCTGTCCAGGGGATATGTTTGTGTTGTATATTAATAAATATGAGTGAATAAACAGTCCAGAATGAAAAAGTGGAAGTAAAGCTGATTGTCAGGGCTGTCCAGGAGATATGTTTGTGTTGTATATTAATGAATGTGAGTGAAAAAACAGTCCAGAATGAAAAAGTGGAAGTCAGGCTGATTGTCAGGGCTGTCCAGGGGAAATGTTTGTGTTGTGTTTTGATGAATATGAGTGAAAAAAACCAGTCCAGAATGAAAAAGTGGAAGTCAAGCTGATTGTCAGGGCTGTCCAGGGGATATGTTTGTGTTGTGTTTTGATGAATATGAGTGAAAAAAAACCAGTCCAGAATGAAAAAGTGGAAGTCAAGTTGATTGGCAGGGCTGTCCAGGGGATATGTTTGTGTTGTGTTTTGATGAATATGAGTGAAAAAAACAGTCCAGAATGAAAAAGTGGAAGTCAGGCTGATTGTCAGGGCTGTCCAGGGGAGATGTTTGTGTCGTGTTTTGAAGAATTTGAGTAAAAAAAACCAGTCCAGATTGAAAATGTTGAAGTCAGGATGATTGTCCGGGCTGTCCAGGGGATATGTTTGTGTTGTATATTTATAAATGTGAGTGAATAAACAGTCCAGAATGAAAAAGTGGAAGTCAGGCTGATTGTCAGGGCTGTCCAGGAGATATGTTTGTGTTGTATATTAATGAATGTGAGTGAAAAAAAAACAGTCCAGAATGAAAAGGTGGAAGTAAAGCTGATTGTCAGGGCTGTCCAGGAGATATGTTTGTGTTGTATATTAATGAATGTGAGTGAAAATAGTCCAGAATGAAAAAGTGGAAGTCAAGCTGATTGGCAGGGCTGTCAAGGGGATATGTTTGTGTTGTATATAATGAATGTGAGTGAATAAACAGTCCAGAATGAAAAAGTGGAAGTAAAGCTGAATGTCAGGGCTGTCCAGGAGATATGTTTGTGTTGTATATTAATGAATGTGAGTGAAAACAGTCCAGAATGAAAACATGGAAGTCGAGCTGATTGTCAGGGCTGTCCAGGGGATATGTTTGTGTATGTGAGTGAATAAACAGTCAAGAATGAAAAAATGGAAGTCAGGCTGATTGTCAGGGCTGTCCAGGGGATATGTTTGTGTTGTATATTGATGAATATGTGTGGAAAAAAACAGTCCAGAATGAAAAAGGGAAAGTCGAGAGCCGATTGTCAGACAAGGGCATTATTTCTGATTTATTATCATTAATTCATGATATTTATAGAGATTTACCTGGGGTTAACAAAACAACATTCCAATCTAATTTCTCAACATATACCATATGTTGAAAAAAGTCTTTTTAACTAAACAAATCACATTTGCTTTGTTGGTTCTTAAGTCATTTGACGACTCTCCATCTTTATTGGCAGAAAAATATCCCCAAAATGGACAGACAATGGCAGGTTAAAGGGTAGAACCACAGATATTCTAGTCTATCTAGTAATAGACTAGCTAAAATAGATCATTCCTATCAAATTAGACTGTGTCCATCTCTCTCCATACTGATGTACAAATCTACCAGCACAGAGATGTACCAAGCTATATTTGTTTTGTTGGTTCTCAAGTCATATGGCGACTCTCCACCTTTATTGGCAGAGAAAATATGCCCCAAAATGGATAGACAAGGGCATACTAATTTCTTAATTATTATCATAAATTCATTATATTTATAGGGATTTACCAATGAAATCAAAGAGCAAGGTTTACCGTACATTACACCGTGTCCATCTCTCTCCACACTGAAACAACTTCCAAATGTACAAATCTACCAGCAAAGAGGTGTACCAAGCTATTCCATACCATATCCTTCTTGCGAGTATATAGGCACTGGGACTCTCGAAGAATTGATAGTCTCGATCAACTTTCACAATGCATGTCAAGTACTCCAATACTCTGTCACTGAGTGGCTTTGACCATCCACACATCCATCCATCATCACCATGTTTCATGTCATTCTTGCAAATTTGCCTCCTTGGTCTTACGATTAACTGAAAGTTCACTGGTGTTAACAAAACAACATTCCAATCTCATTTCTCAACATATACCATATGTTGAACAAAGTCTTTTTAACTAAACAAATCACATTTGCTTTGTTGGTTCTAAAGTCATTTGACGACTCTCCATCTTTATTGGCAGAAAAAAATATGCCTCAAAACGGACAGACAAGGGCAGGTAAAAAGGTAAAAGGGTAGAACCACAGATATTCTAGTCTACTAGTTAAAGTAGATAATTCCTATCAAATTGCATACTGACTGTGTCCATGTCTCTCCACACTGAAATAACTTTCAAATGTACAAATCTACCAGCACAGAGATGTACCAAGCTATATTTGTTTTGTTGGTTCTCAAGTCATATGGCGACTCTCCATCTTTATTGGCAGAGAAAATATGCCCCAAAATGGACAGACAGGGGCATACTAATTTCTGAATTATTATCATAAATTCATTTTATTTATACAGATTTACCAATGAAATCAAAGAGCAATGTTTACCGCACAATGCACCGTGTCCATCTCTATCCACACTGAAACAACTTCCAAACGTACAAATCTACCAGCAAAGAGGTGTACCAAGCTATTCCATACCATATCCTTCTTGCGAGTATATAAGCACTGGGACTCTCGAAGAATTGATAGTCTCGATCAACTTTCACAATGCACGTCAAGTACTTCAATACTCTGTCACTGAGTGGCTTTGACCATCCACACATCCATCCATCATCACCATGTAACATGTCATTCTTACAAGTTTGCCTCCTTGGTCTTAAGATTAACTGAAAGTTCACTGGGGTTAACGAAACATCATTTCAATCTCATTTCTAAACTATACCATATGTTGAACAAAGTCTTTTTAACTAAACACATCACATTTGTTTTGTTGTTTCCTAAGTCATTTAACGACTCTCCACCTTTATTGGCAGAAAAAATATGCCCCACAATGGACAGACAAGGGCAGGGGTAAAACGGTAAAAGGGTAGAACCACAGATATTCTAGTCAGGGTAGAACCACAGATATTCTAGTCTATCAAGTTATAGACTAGGTAAAATAGATCATTCCTATCAAATTGCATACTGACCGCGTCCATAGATCTCTCTCCACACTGAAACAACTTCCAAATGTACAAATATACCAGCACGGAAATGTACCAAGCTATTCCATACCATATCCTTCCCGTGAGTATATAGGCACCAGGACTCTCGAAGAATTGATAGTCTCGATCAATAAATACTTCACCACTGTCACACAACAATCCATTTTCTGAAAAAATATTTAATTCCATGTGAATGTTATTTAGAAGTCGGCGGCGTACTATACAGATTTTTTCAAAAATCTTTTATAGGAACCCAATTTTCTGAAAATGGAAATTACCTTGCCAATATTTTGTGTTTACAATATCATTCTTCCTGTGTCATTTATATGAATAATTAAATGGAAATTTGTGTTTAATTTGACGGCGTTGAAAGGCATGCTCAGGGAAATCAACAGAGTGTATATATGAAGCTACCCACAACGGCGAGAAAAGGTGTTTATATTGATCGCGAAACTGTAAGAAAGTTTTTGGATAGAAAAGGAAATTGATTAATGCCATCTTTTTGACAGTTTTGATTTTATATAAGTGCAAATAAATTAACCAATAAAATCCAGGAGAACGGTATATCACACTGTGCAATGGAATTTATGCAAATTAGCAAGGGGCCATTTGATTAGTTGACTTGGTGATACATTGTTTATCTGGCATTACACAGCTGTCAAAACATAGCATTGATCAAGGTTGATCGTCAGCATTATTTTAAGACGGTTAATGTTTTTTTATGAGATTATTTTATTTATAACTCTTGAAATAAAGATGCTATAGTAATGGAACTTGTCATGCATGATGTGAGTATTGACAAAGGAAAATTATCCTAAGTCTAGAGTAGACATCATTTATAATACAAAAAAATAATACAAGTACATGTACTTAGAAACTATAACAATAACAAGAGCTGTCGGAGGACAGCAATGCTCGACTTTTCGATATAGTTGTCACAAGGATGTTACAATGAGTATAAAAAGGGCTGTCGGGGGACAGCAATGCTCGACTTTTCGATATAGTTGTCACAAGGATGTTTCAATGAGTATAAAAAGGGGCATAAATATGTAAATAAGTTAATCATAGTTATAGGACCTGTGCCAATCATGTTAAAAAATCACAGTGATTGAAAATGTATGTTAAGTTTCATTCCATTCCCTTCAATAGTTAGGGAGATACCAGCTAACAAGCAAAAAAAAATAACCATGAGTTTCATCGAGTAAAAAATATTTTACTGCACCAAAACTTTAATCTGAAATCTGGAAGGGGACTCAAGGGCGAGTAGGACAGCTCTCTATATACTTCGTGTAGTCGAGCTAAAAAAACTACAACTGACAATGCCTATCAAATGTATACTTTATTCATAAGTAATATAATAAAATTGTATTTTGTAAGTAAACATAGACAGGGAATGGAACCCTAGTCTCCAAAATGGCCGACAGGATACTCACCTCTATATTCATTTGGCTCAAATTGCACAGGATTTCAACCAAACTTGTATTTTGATTTTATTATGATTCATTATCTTTATTATGATTTACTATATAGCATCAAGAGCAAAGGTTTACCTTATGACACGTATCTTTCTTCACACTGGAACAACTTATTGTTGTACAAATCTGCCAGCACATAAATGTACTAAGCTATTCCATACCATATCCTTCTTGCGAGTATATAGGCACTGGGACTCTCGAAGAACTGATAGTCTTATCCACTTCCGCTTCATCACTCCTCCATGGTCTGAAATATCACCAGGGTTTACAAAATAACATTCTAATCTTATAATGTTAATATTTATCATGTCTTTACAAATTACTTTTCAAGTAAGCAGGTAATTATCAATGTTTCATTGGTTTTATATTATATGAATGCCCATTCTTTATTATATGGCAGATAAAGGCCGTCAAATGAGTTTCAGGGTAGGGCAAGTCCATGCCTAGTAGAACCACTTACCTTCCAGTCTAGCTAGCTAAAAGACTATCTCCAATAGACAATTCCTATCAACTGTATACTAAATTTATAAGTAATATGATAAAACTGTATTTTGTAAGTAAACATAGACAGGGAATGGAACCCTAGTCTCCAAAATGTCCGACAGGATACTCACCTCTATATTCATTTGGCTCAAATTGCACAGGATTTCAACCAAACTTGTATTTTGATTTTATTATGATTCATTATCTTTATTATGATTTACTATATAGCATCAAAGAACAAGGTTTACCTTATGACACGCATCTTTCTTCACACTGGAACAACTTATTGTTGTACAAATCTGCCAGCACATAGATGTACTAAGCTATTCCATACCATATCCTTCTTGCGAGTATATAGGCACTGGGACTCTCGAAGAACTGATAGTCTTATCCACTTCCGCTTCATCACTCCTCCATGGTCTGAAAAATCACCAGGGTTTACAAAATAACATTCTAATCTTATAATGTTAATATTTATCATGTCTTTACAAATTACTTTTCAAGTAAGCAGGTAATTATCAATGTTTCTTTGGTTTTATATTATATGAAGGCCCATTCTTTATTATATGGCAGATAAAGGCCGTCAAATGAGTTTCAGGGTAGGGCAAGTTCATGCCTAGTAGAACCACTTACCTTCCAGTCTAGCTAGCTAAAAGACTATCTCCAATAGACAATTGCTATCAACTGTTTGTTGAACTAGCTGATTTTTTTTATCTCTTAAATAGATGATACTATGCATACAAAAAATCCTTAAAGTATAATATTGTAAAATACCTAATTGCTCCATCATGCCAGTTTCCAACCAATAATACACATGCAGCTATCCACATCATCACGTCTCCGCCACAATGTAGAACTAGAACACCAACATCTTCTTTCCAGGGGGTTTCCAAAAACACAAAAAAAAACACAAAACATTAGAATAGGGGAAAAAACAAACAGTTAAAGAACCTGGCAAGTAGATCTGTAAAACAAAAATATAGGTATTAGAGCAAACAAATACAGGCATTTCAAAATCTAATTTATTATTTACATAATTAAACATATCAAACATAATCATAGTACACAAATTCTAAATACACAAGTCATAGCATAAAAAGAGTAGGTTAAACATGAAGCAAGAGGTCTAAAGGAGATAGGAAGCATAAAACAAAAATAAAAAAAAACATATGATTATTTTATTGGTGAAAAAGATACAAATACATATCAAATACAATACTCGAGTATGAGTATATCAAAAAACCGCGGGCGCATCACGTAGCCTGGCCAGAATCACATTTTATAACAACAACCATCAACAATAACTTCTACTCAACACATTACTAACTACAGGGGGTACAGGGATAACGTACATAAAGATTTTTTTATAAATCGCGAGTATATAAAAAAAAAACGCGGGCGCATCACGTAGCCTGGCCAGATTCACATTTTATAACAAGCATTAACAATAACTTCAACTCAACACATAACTAAGTAACTTGAATAACATATATAAAGATTTTTTATAAATCGTGAGTATATCAAAAAACCGCGGGCGCACCATTTTTTTAAGCATTTTGTTTTTGACAAAAAGTTAAATTAATCTTAAAAATGAAAATAGATATATCTATAATTTTTTTTCGGGGCACCGGGTTTCATTTTTTGATTGGGGTTAACCCCTTTACAAGGGAAAGGGTTGGAAAATTTTCCCAAAAACCGGCTTTAAAATTTTAATTTAAAGGGGAATTTTTATTTTTACAAACGTTTTGGGGCTTTGGGGTTTAAACATTTAAAACCCAGGGAATTAAAAGCTATGATATATCACATCAAAAATTTGGGGAAAAATTTTTACAGTGAAAACAATTTTGCTGACGTTTTTAAAAGCATGATACGTGTTTAA